CAGCCTGAGTATAAATTGGTGCAGTACCTGTACAAAAACCAGGTTCAATACAGTAGGACCCCCATATCCACAGGGGATACGTTCCAATGACTTGCTGTGCATACCGAAACCGTGTATAGTAGCAAACCCTATACAGTGAACCCCCGCGTTTCAGCGGCCGCAACATTCGTGAAATCCAACTTTCAGCAATTTTTTTCAGCAACTTTTTTTGGCAAAAAATAGCCTCACGGTTCGTGATTGTCGAGTGCGTGTTTCAGAGCTTGCCAGGATGTATGGCAAACACCATTCAACCATCACTTCAATCATGGCAAAGGGAAAGGAAATCAAGGAAGCTGTTGTTGCAAAAAGGGTAGATATGCTGACAAAAAAGAGATCGAAAACACTCAAAAGAAGTGGAGAGGTTATTGCTGGTGTGGATTACCCAAAATTAGTTAGCAGGAGATAGTGTTATGTAGTCACTCATTTGTGAAAAAGCAACGGAGTTGCATGATCTCGTAAAGAAAATGCCTGCAACGAGTGCTGATGTTTGTGATTTTAAGGCCAGCAAAGGCTGGTTTGAGAGATTTAAGAAGTGTAGTGGCATACACAGTGTGGTAAGGCATGGCGAGGCTGCGAGTGCTGACAATAAAGCGGCTGAAAAATATGTTCAGGAGTTCAAGGGGTACATAGAGACTGAACAATTCAAACCCCAACAAGTGTTCAATTGTGACAAAACAGGCCTGTTTTGGAAGAAAATGCCATAGAGGATCTACATCACGCAGGAGGAAATGGCACTGCCAGGACACAAACTATGAAAGACAGGCTAACTCTCATGTTTTATAGTAATGCTAGTGGGGATTTCAAAGTGAAGCCTTTACTGGTGTATCACTCTGAAAATCCCACAGTGTTCAAGAAAGACAGTGTCATTAACCCTTTGACTGTTTCAGGCCCCTCTCTGAAACTGTCATTCTATGTCGCTCAATTTTTGAAAAAAAAAAAAAAATTATTTTTTCTTACGAAATGATAGAGAATCTTTTCCCGATGGTAATGACACCAAAAGTTCGAAATTTGGTCGGAAACTCATGGAATTATGCTCCCGCGAATTTAGCAGTCTCAGCGACATAAGCGTATCGGCGATTTCGCCGACTTTGAGCCCTATTTTCAGCCAATTCCATTGTTCCAGTTGACCAAACTCATAGCTATTTCTTTAGAACTCCATTTTATCTATCAGCTGAGTACAAGAAACCTCCCATTTACTAATTTGGACTACCCAATATGGTGGTCAGAAATTGGCAATTTGGCCAATTTCACACAAACTAAAAAAGATGCCAATTTCAAAATAGGGTCCAGAATAAACAAGGTAGACATTCGTGGCACTAAAATAACATATGCTCTGTTCATTATTCACATCTCTAGGCTCCTCTTATATTATTATTGCTTTCTATTTTGATTTTTTATTCATACAAAAAATAAAAAATTTACTGTTATGCAGACAACTGCATTATTGTAAAAATGGTATAAATAATATCATTGCACTAGTGAAAGAATATTAGACTCCCCAGTTGACGTGTATTGGACGTGTGGTGTGATTTATTTACTCCTGAACATTGGTAAAATCGAACATTTCCGCTACTTTGAGCTCAGTTTCAAGGTCGTTTTCATCATCAAAGTAATGAAAATCATCTCTATTTCTGTAATATGTTTTCCATTTTATCACCTAAGACCATGAAAACGCGAATACAACGATAAATACTATACGAAAATACACCTCAAAGTCGGCGTTTTATTCCAAAAAACGATCATTTTTTTTTTCTCATTACGCAATGTGTGCTGCAGGATTTTTTTTATGTGGTGCACACTGACCACACAGACCCATTCTCTCACATGTGGGCCTACCAGCTTTCTCCCGCTTGATTTGAAGCCGCTAGAATTATTGATGTCACCGTGGTTGTTTAATATATTTATAGATGGGGTTGTAAGAGAAGTAAATGCGAGGGTCTTGGCAAGAGGCGTGGAGTTAAAAGATAAAGAATCACACACAAAGTGGGAGTTGTCACAGCTGCTCTTTGCTGATGACACTGTGCTCTTGGGAGATTCTGAAGAGAAGTTGCAGAGATTGGTGGATGAATTTGGTAGGGTGTGCAAAAGAAGAAAATTAAAGGTGAATACAGGAAAGAGTAAGGTTATGAGGATAACAAAAAGATTAGGTGATGAAAGATTGAATATCAGATTGGAGGGAGAGAGTATGGAGGAGGTGAACGTATTCAGATATTTGGGAGTGGACGTGTCAGCGGATGGGTCTATGAAAGATGAGGTGAATCATAGAATTGATGAGGGAAAAAGAGTGAGTGGTGCACTTAGGAGTCTGTGGAGACAAAGAACTTTGTCCTTGGAGGCAAAGAGGGGAATGTATGAGAGTATAGTTTTACCAACGCTCTTATATGGGTGTGAAGCGTGGGTGATGAATGTTGCAGCGAGGAGAAGGCTGGAGGCAGTGGAGATGTCATGTCTGAGGGCAATGTGTGGTGTGAATATAATGCAGAGAATTCGTAGTTTGGAAGTTAGGAGGAGGTGCGGGATTACCAAAACTGTTGTCCAGAGGGCTGAGGAAGGGTTGTTGAGGTGGTTCGGACATGTAGAGAGAATGGAGCGAAACAGAATGACTTCAAGAGTGTATCAGTCTGTAGTGGAAGGAAGGCGGGGTAGGGGTCGGCCTAGGAAGGGTTGGAGGGAGGGGGTAAAGGAGGTTTTGTGTGCGAGGGGCTTGGACTTCCAGCAGGCATGCTTGAGCGTGTTTGATAGGAGTGAATGGAGACAAATGGTTTTTAATACTTGACGTGCTGTTGGAGTGTGAGCAAAGTAACATTTATGAAGGGATTCAGGGAAACCGGCAGGCCGGACTTGAGTCCTGGAGATGGGAAGTACAGTGCCTGCACTCTGAAGGAGGGGTGTTAATGTTGCAGTTTAAAAACTGTAGTGTAAAGCACCCTTCTGGCAAGACAGTGATGGAGTGAATGATGGTGAAAGTTTTTCTTTTTCGGGCCACCCTGCCTTGGTGGGAATCGGCCGGTGTGATAATAAAAAAAAAAAAAAAAAAAAAAATATATACGTCAGAAACATTGGCTCGTAAGACGTATTTATACGTCGAAAACAGTCGAAGGGTTAAGGCTAATTTGTGTGTGATGTTGAAGGCTAACAGTAAGGCATGGGTCACGAGAGACATTTTCCTTGACTGGTTCAATGAAGTGTTTGGCCCCAGTGTGAAGAAATACCTCCTGGAAAATAAATTGGAACTCAAGTGTCCCCTGGTAATGGACAATGCTCCTGCTCATCCTCCAGACTTGGAAGAGCAAATGGTGGAGGAGTTTCATTTCATCAAAGTGAAGCTCTTGCCCCCTAATACCACTCCTCTCCTTCAACCCATGAACCAGCAGGTCATTTCAAACTTCAAAAAACTGTACACCAAAGCAGTGTTTCAAAAGTGCTTTCAAGTGACCTCAGACACTGAATTGACCTTAAGAGATTTCTGGAAAGATCACTTCAGTATCCTCCATTGCATAAACCTTATAGGTAAGGCTTTGGAGGGAGTGACTTCCAGGACTTTGAACGCTGCTTGGAGAAAATTGTGGCCACAATGGTACAAGAGAGGGATTTTAAAGGGGTTTTTGGGGCTGACCCTGAGGGCCTATGCCATTGGGAAATATTAGGGCTTTGGGGGAAATTCCATGGGGTTGGATGGAGTTTCAAGGATGTGGAAGAGTTTGGAGGCCCACGATGAAGAGCAAACCCACTACAGGCGCAAGACCTCTGAAAAGCACAGCCCACAGCTCGGGAAAATTTTGCTTTAAGGAGGAAGAAGAGGAGGAAGGTCCCCTTTTTAAAAGTTTAAGGGGCATTTGTGAAATGTGGACAAAGGTGCAAACATTTAGGATAAACCTCACCCTGACAAGGCTGTTTTCAGGGCATATTGGCAAAAATGTACAATGACAATGTTTGTCCCCTTTTAGGGGTGTTTAAAAAAATGTCCGAAACAGGCTCTCTGAAAAAATATTTTGTGTGAGGGGCCGTGACTCAAATGGTCCCCTGCCTTAAAAAACAAGAAGGGAAAACCCGAAAAGGACTTGGTACCCGAAAGTCTTTATGGAAGGGGGTTCCCCTCTAAACAATAGTTTTCCTTCATCTTTCCCCCCCTCCCATTTCCATCCCCCCAGAATCTTCAGTAAAGCTAAGTGAATTTTTTTTTATTTTATATATGTATGTACTTGATTTATCATTGTTTTCTGTATGCAAAATTTTTTTTAATTTGGAAAAAAAAAAAATATTTTTTAATTTTTTGGGGTCTCAACGAATTAATTTTATTCCTTATTTCTTTGGGGAAAATGGTTTTTGCTATTTTGAATTTGACTTTTAGCAGACCTCTGGGCAGATTAATCACAAAAAAAAGGGGTCCATGTATATAAGTCCAATAGTTCCTATTATAAATTTTTAAATTTTTAAATTATGCACAAAAGGTGGGAATTATCACTTTTTTCATGATGGGTAGCACTTCACAGCTTCTCTTGGGGTTTGAAGGAAAAAGCCCGTTTTTTACTTTTGCACTTTTGGGCCATTATTTGCAAAAATTTTGAGGATTTTTGGGGCCCAGTAAAATGTGGAAACTGAAACCTGGATATGAGTCAGTGGGTCAAGGGTTCTACTTATTTTTAAAGTAAATTTTTTTAAATATATTCAGTAAACTAAAAATTTTGGGATGGGGGCCCTTTTTTAAATTTATAGGTTAGGATTGGCTAATTTTCCATTGTCTTTAAATTTTAGCAATTAAGATACCTGTTATCTTGCTTAAATATATCGGCAGTGATCAAAATTTTGTATCAAGTATTTTTTTTAAGGAAGTTTGACTGTATAGGTTCACCTCTTCATTGAAAAAACAAATGTAACTTTTTAAATGAAGTCTGTCAGCTCTGAATAATAACTGTGACAAAAAATATAATATGGCCGTTGTGTTGAAAAAAAATCACATATGTATAATTAGATTTACATAGATTTATTAAATAATAAAGTAAACCCTTGACCTAAGCCTGTTTACAGAATTGTCCAGTATTGTTATTATTATTTTTGTAATTATAACTAAGCGCAAACCCGTAAGAGTCCAGCATTGCTATAATCACAGGAATGGCCTTCATATTCGGACTGAAATGTCAATTTGCATCATCAGACCCCTCTTCCCCACCCCAGTTAATCCATTATATCGAGGTGTTGAATACATACACACAAACACACATTTGGTTTCGAGATTTAACACCTTGCTTATCTTAAGACGGCATTGTATCTTAGCTGTGGTATCTTTATTTACTAATAACCATAAATGACTGTTGCGTTAACTTAAACATTGTAGTCTATTAAACATTAGGAATGTGAGTACTACTATGATCTTTACACAACATTCAACCATTCAAAATTAAGGTAGGTTAGATTACTAGGGTTTCAACATTCATCCATCCATGCCCTTCTAGGGAGGTGCTTTGATGCTGGTGAAGGGAACTGATCCAAGGAATAGGAGCTGCCTTAGCCATTCTAATATCAAACTTGGCCCTAATGTAATTTTTTCCCTTAAATATAATTATGATCCATTCAGGATCAGTGTTAAATTAATTAAAGTAGATGGTTCCCAGCGAGGGTAGAAACATTGGGCGTGTTTCTTTACACCAGTTGTCTATGTTCACCCATCAGTAAAATGGGTACCTGGGAGTTAGTTGACTGGTGTGGGTTGCATCCTGGGACAAAACTGACCTAATTTGAATGAAAAACTCTGCATAACAAGGGGCTTTCTGTACACTGTACATGTACACGTACTTACTATTATTGGCAAAAACTAAATTTTCTGAAATTCTTGAAAGAGGCTGTTTAGTATTTTTTTTTAAATTATTACATTGCAAGTGAGTTGCATTTACTAATTCAGAAATAATAAAATGAAGTCTTTTGAACTGGGTCTTAATATTAAGGCTTCAATTTACTTAGGTGTTAACAGCAAGGATACCTCATTTCCCAGAATAGAAAATATAATAAACTGTGTGTACATTAAGACATACATTTTCTTGGTGAATATGTACTGAGGGAGATATACAGTGGACCCCCGGATAACGATCAGCTCCCAACTCGACCAATTATGTAAATTTATTTTTGTAAGTGCTTTTGTAGGTGTATTTTTAGGGGTCTGAAATGGACTAATCTAATTCACAACATTTCTTATGGGAACAAATTCGGTCTATAACGGCACCCAAACAGACTTCTGGATTGAAATAATATCGTTATGCGGGGGTCCACTGTATTTCCAAAGACACAAACATACACATCTCAGTATATAAACAGGTACCCATATCCATGTATATACCTCTGAGCCTAGTTAAAATGTTGTCTAATTAATTCCGATACTTTACACTGTTTCAGCAACTGTAATGTGCAAGGACTTTGATGCTCAAAAAAATTACATAACTACGTATTTAGTTTACAACACACAATTCAGTCACGAGTTCTTCTAATAAATTATCATCCAAATTTTTTAAATTATATCCTTTTATGCCTATTGTCATCAGGTAAATACCTTATAATTACCTGTTTTTTTACTCTTATTTAAATTGAACATGAAAAAAAATTATTTTATATATGTAACTTTTCCTTTAAAGGGATGCCTTGATACAGGTGAAGGCCTCATAATCTGAAAAGCTGGAGCAAGCCTCCTCTTCATGATGAACCTGATTACCTCCCATTTATCATGCACTGTATGCCCCTTGTGGTTTTAGAATCTCGCCATTAATATAACTTGACAACTTTTAAAACATGCATTCTTCTAAGTAGGTTTTTGACTTTAACAAGAGATATTCAGTACAATAGATACAATAGCTTGAGTGTAGATGACAGGATTATTTACAAGATATTGGACTCTCTTTAGTATTCTTATATTATAGTTGATGAGTTGGGGAGAATGGTAACATTTAAATGTTCAAGGCTGGAACACCACAATGTAAATTCACAAAGTATATTTAAAACAGCAAATGCCAGTTATTAAAGATGAACATTGTGCCTGCAGATGCATCACTGGAACATTTGTATTTCTGTTTTCCTGTGTTTTATCACACACAAAGAATACAAGCTCCTCCCCAGTCTGTGTTATGTATTGTCATCATCAGTGGCCAGGCACTTAGTCCAGCTCACCTGGTACAGACAATGTAAGCCGCTTGGCCAGGTTTCTGTCATTGTGTAAGCACTTGCAAGGATGTACAAACAGTAGCACACAAGAAATGCATCGCTGAGATTTAAGGAATCTTGTTTTTTGCGGCCACATACGAACAAGCAACTACACAGGTGCAGACATAATGATTTTCTGCATCATATTCCAGAATGACTAGGTTTTTGTCACTCGTTCACCATTTACAATGGTATATCCGTCATATAAAGCTTTGATTTGACGAGAGTAGAATCAGCTGAGTTCGATGGGAATGTCTGCCCGTCCTCGCTGATCACTCGCAGCAATGAAGGAGACTGCAGATTTAAGAAAGTGGTATGAGAATACACATACAGCATATAGTATATGCAAAGCTCACATTCACTGAATTAGATATTTTGCATTTTATATAATTTTTATTTAGGGACATTGCATATAAATATTAAGAAATGCATTTCACTTTTTTCACATCAGTATACTGTTCATTATGAAATTAATGTCATGTGAAAGATTCTTAAATTTTATATTTAACCTATTACCTTTAAGTAATAGCTTCAAGTTTAAATATCCACTCCTCTTTATTTAAATGTTACTTATCAGGTCATATATCTACATTGTAAAATTACATACACTGAAAGTATGTAGTTGAAAAAGACAAGTAGCAAAAGTAATCTTGATTAATATGAGGTCTCGTGTACATGAGACTATCAGGAGTGCACAATATCAAAACCCACTTCCATGGCCTTCATAATCCTCCCACACTCTTAATAATCACGGATATTAGCAAGACTAATTCACATGTCTCTGTTTCATTTATCAAATCTCTGTAAGCTTTGTATTCAAACTCTAAATTTAGTTCTGAATTTAACCCCCATTGTCCCCTCAAGGAAGGTTCCTTGATGTTGGTGAGGGGCTCTTGATTTAGGGAATTGGATCTGTGCTCCAGTTCCCCGAATTAAGCCTGAATGCCTTCCACATCCCCCCCCCCAGGCGCTGTATAATCCTCCGGGTTTAGCGCTTACCTTGATTATAATATATCATAACCCCCATTGTGTTGCTTTTTTCATACCTTTCCCTTCCTGCTTGGGGAGTTCTGACTATTCATTTGCCCTTCTAGGCCCAAAGGCTCATATGTCTGCTGAAAACTTGTATTTGCTCTACCTTGAGCACTTTCAGTCACATTCTTATGCTATCAGTGTGCACACAGATGGTTCCAATGTCTCACAGTTGATTTCCCTGATAAACTAATCCAGGACATATACTAGAATTGGCAAGCATTTTCAGAGCAGAATTGTATGTAATTAGTTATATAAAATTAAGGTGTACTTACTCCATTCACCTGAATGCATGCAAGGAATAAATAAATTTTGATTTTCCTGACATATTGATTTAATTTAAGTTTGTACTATATTAATGCAAATGAGAATAAACACAGCATGTGTTTTTTAAATTTGCGCCAAAACAATTTAATTTTCAAATACACAAATAACTTGCACATAGGAGAGAAGAGCTCACAACGACATTTTGGTCCGACATGGACCATTTACAAAGTCTCACTAACAGAAACGAGTGACTTTGTAAGTGGTCCAAGTCAGACCAAATGTCGTTGGAAGCTTCTCTCTCCTACATGTGGGATATTTGTGTATTGTTCCAGTCACAGTACTGTGCCTTTTTTAACTTAAAAATCTTAAAATGTACTTTATCTAATACTGTATAGTATAATATTATCACTTAGATCATAGTTTTGGGATGTGCAAATTAATATGTATTCACTAAGTTATAATAATAAATGTAAATTTGGGTATAGTAAAATAAAATCATAGGGTAAAATAAGTAATTCATATTGTTCTGTTCTTGCAGGTACTCTAACATCTAATCCATGATGATGTCTTACAGTAAAGAAGAATGCATCCAAATAATTCTACTCTTAGGAAATTAAAGTCAGAGGGAGACCACTGAGGAATTTGGTTGCATCCAAACCATGCAATGATAACACAGCTGGTAAGAGTTTGAAATAAGACAGTCTTACACAAATAACCCGCACATAAAAGAGAGAAGCTTACGACGACATTTCGGTCCGACTTGGACCATTGACAAAGTCACACTAACCAGAGGTGGAGCAGGACGGCTATATATAGCCGTCCTGCTCCACCTCTGGTTAGTGTGACTTTGTCAATGGTCCAAGTCGGACCGAAACGTCGTCGTAAGCTTCTCTCTTTTATGTGCAGGTTATTTGTGTATCGTTCCTGTCACGCTATTGTGCCTTTTTTGTTATTTAAGACAGACTGCAAAGGAACAAGGAGGATTTAGGAAAGGTAGGGGATATGCAGACTAAATGTTTACCTTAAAGGGCATAAGTAAACAATATTTGAGTAAATGTAAGGGACAATTTGTTGCATTTATGAATTTAGATAAGGCATGTGATAGCGCACAGGGATAGAATGTGGCAGGTACTATAAATACAGTGGTACCTTGGGATACGAACTTAATTTGTTCGAGAAGGCTGTTTGAGTGCTAAAAAATCCTCTTATCTCACAATATTAACCAAATCAACCAAAACATGTGCTAATTAGTTTTATTATGTGACCTCCTGGCTTTTAATTCTGCTAATCCATAAAATATTACCATCTGCACCATTACTTGTAAGGTAGATTTTGTGTGCAATTTCAAGATTATTTTACCAAACCCTACTCTACCTTACTACCTCTCACTTGTATTAAATTCAAATGAGATTGTAAAGCAGTTAACCACTACTTCTTGTATAGTTTTAAGCATAGTTACTATGTATTATTATCTTATCTAGTTTTAATTAGTTACTATGTATTTATTAGGATTAGTTTGCCCAAAATGCCTCGGCATGATAGTGGCTACCTTTGTACTTAGCAAATCAAAACTGTAATTACACATTGTAACCTTTACAAAGAAATGAACTTTATTTTACATAAGGAATGTAAATTAGACTAATCTGTTTCGGACCCCCCAAAAATACACTTACATAAATACGCTTATATAATTGTTCGAGTTTTGAGCTGTTCGTGAAAGTTGTGAAAGAACTGAATTCTATGGTGTTGGGGAGAGGTATAGTAATCACGTGTTTTTTTTTTTTTTTTTTTTTTTTTTTTGCTGATGACAAAGTGCTTTTGGGAGAATATACATAATGTTGCAGTTTTATAACTGTAGTGTAAAGCACTATGAAAAAACCTGTGAACATATTCCATCATTTTTGGCTCACCCTACCCCTGTTGAAGATAACTGATGTGCTAAAAACATACATGAGCAGCCTCCACCTGAGGTAGGAAAATAAAAAGAGGAAGCATTTTCACAGTTATTCACCCTATTACACAACCCAGGGCAACATGGAGTTAGAGCAGATGGCACCTGCCTGTCCCAGCTACTGGACGACTATGACAAGGTCCTTGATGCTGTAGAGGATAAACAAAATACAGATGCAGTATACACAGACTTTGCAAAAGCTTTCAACGGGTGTGATCATGGTGTAATAGTACACAAAATGTGTGATAAAGGAATAACAGGAAAAGTTGGTAGATAGATCTATAACTTCCTGACAAACAGAACACTAATAGTTAACAGAGTAAAGTCTGAGGGAGCTACAGTGAAAAGCTCTGTTCCACAAGGCACAGCGCTCACTCCCAGTCCATTCTTCATCCACATACCAGAGCTGTAAGCCATAGCTCCATGTCTTCCTTTGCAGATGACACCCAAATTGCTATGACAGTGACCTCCATCGAAGACACTGCAAAACTCCAAGCGGAAATCAACCAAATCTTCCAATGGGCCACTCAGAACAATATGAAGTTCAATGAAGAGAAATTTCAAATACTCAGATATGAAAAACTTGAGGAAATTAAAACTGTTTCAGGATATACTACAAATTCTAACCATACAGTAGAGCAAAAAAGTAATGTGAAAGACCTGAGAGTGATAATGTCAGAGGATCTCGCCTTCAAAGACCACAATAACGTATCTACCACATCTGCTAGGAAAATGATAGGATGGATAATGAGAACCTTCAAAACTAAGGACACCAAGCCCATGATGATCCTCTTCAAATTGCTTCTCTCTAGGCTGGAATACTGCTGTACACTAACTCTCCCCCTTCAAGGCAAGCGAAACTGTTGACCTGGAGAGTGTACAAAGAACTTTCACAGCACACACAAGTACAATAAGGCACCTAAATTAATGGGAGTGGTTAAATCCCTTAATTTGTATTCCCTGGAATGCTGGCAAGAGAGATGCATGATAATATACACTTGGAAAATCGTAGAAGGATTAGCATCAAACTTGCACACTAAAATCACTCTGTGAAAGCAAAGGACTCAGCAGGAGATGCAACATTCCTCCAATGAAAAGTAGGGATGCCACAAGTACACTGAAAGACAACACAATTAGTGTCCAGGGCCCAAGACTGTTCAGCTGCCTCCCAGCATACATAAGGGGGATTACCAATAGACCCCTGGCTGCCTTGAAGGCACTGGATAGGCACCTAAAGTCAGTACCTGACCAGCCGGGCTGTGGTTTGTATGTCAGTTTGCATGTAGCCAGCAGTAACAGCCTGATTGATCAGACCCTGATCCACCACAAGGCTTGGTGTTGGATCGAACTGAGGGGGCGTTGACCCCAGAAACCCTCTCCAGGTAATTGCTGTCATCAAACTCAGATGACCCTTCTGAACTGGAGATGTGGAGAAATTTTCTCCAGGAGGGGGGTATTAGCCCCCTTCAGCCATGAGGGGCCCCCTCTCAGAAGGGGCAAGCATCTTGTATACTGCTACAGCAAGTAATTGATCCCAGATGCAATACGAGTATGTGACGTGGTCAAGCGACCGCTGCTCCTTGCAAGAGTCCAGTGTTGCAAAGTGTAGTTTAATAAGAGACAGTCCATCTCTTACCTTAGCAGGACAATTAAGGAAAATCCTGCTCCCACTTTATTACCATGATAAAGATAGTGTACATTGTTGTCTATGCTTAAGACAGCCAGAATCAAGCATTCTGCTTTGCTTCATGGAGGAAGTTTGGCAAGGAAGCAAAAAGTACTAGGTCAGCTTTTCCTTTATGTTCGAGGGACACTGCAGCGGTGTAGGAGGCTGTGAGGTCAGATTACTTTTCACCCTACTGGGAGTCACACTGACGCCAGGATAAACAACAAAGAACACTGATCCGTGCGTTAGTGTGAACAAAGTGTCTCACAAAACACAATAAACACTTACAGAGAAGTGTGATCAACTTCTTTAGTGATAAGATTGTGAACATTAAAGACAAATCTTGTGGAACATAGTGTACCAGTGTGCGTATTCCTAGACTATGGAAGACGTGGACATCCAAGGACACTTCAGCTTCTATAAAGTCACCGATATCTGTCGAGGGTGTAAAAAACACCATAGCTCACGCTACAAGAGCAAGGTGGGTTGCAGATTTCTTGTAGTACGGGGGACTGCGCAGTTCTTGTGTCGCAAGGAGTTTGTAATCAACCTATAGTCAGCAGTAAGGTGTGGACTTTTGAGTCCACACAAAGTGTTGTCAGGCATCAGTGGCTGATATATGCTGACATAACACCCCCTAGGGGTAATTTATAATCCTACCTGATATACTTTATTACAGCCTGTTGTGAAGTGGATGAGACAACTTCTCAAGACCTCGTCTGCAGGGGCGACTGTGTGGACGATAGCCGTCTTATCAGCTAAGTACTCCCTACATTTAATCTTTAACCTTAGCTAGTAAACCATTTCTCAACAGGAGAGTGCAGGCACCATACTTCCCACCTCAAGGTCTCAAATCAGGCTGATTGCTCTGAATTTGTTATTAAATTTTACTTTGCTTACATTCCAACAGCACAAAGTCATGAAACCCATACCCCTTAACTCTGCAACTAGCTGTAGGGTATAAACTATGAGAAAAGGATAACAGAGCTGAACTTGTTGTGTGTAATAAAAAATATGTACATACACCTACCATCCGACTTACGACCGTGTTTTTTATGCCAAATTTCTGGGAAATAAACAACTATTTGTGTTGTACACAGTGTTTATCCTAAACCTTACAGTATAAAATACAGTACTAACAGCATATAAAGTAAAGTGAAACATGAAATACCAAAATAAAACAATAAAATAAAGTCATTACAAAAATGTTTTGTTCATATTCAGTAGTAAAGTTCGACTTACGACCATTTCGACTTACAACTGGTTTCTCGGAACCGAACTCGGTCGTAAGTCGGATGGTAGGTGTATTATTCTCATATACTTGTAGTCATAATTTAGTTTTAAGGCTGCCCTAAATGCCTTGCATAATAAGGAGTTTTCTGTAAAGCAGTTTATATATGTCAGTCACCCTTATTGTTTAATATACTACTGTGCTACACTTCTTGTTACAGTGAACCCCCGCCTTACGAACGCATCGCGTTACATTAAATCCGCCATACAAAGCATTTGAACGCAAAAATTTTCCCTCGCCTCACAATAAAAAACTCGCCTTACGTAATTCGTCTGGGACGCATCCCATGTGTGACCTCAACGCCAGTGTTTACAAGCCAGCCAGTGTGGTCGCATCTATGCATACATTCGGTACATTTCACATTATCATGGTGTTTTTAGTGCTTGTAACTGCAAAATAAGTCACCATGGACCCCAAGAAAGCTTCTAGTGCCATCCCTGTGGTAAAAAAGGTGAGAATTAGTATGGAATTGAAAAAGAGATTAAGGAAATGTGTGCAAAGTGGGTTGAACTGCAAACCTTTACTGATGAAAATCACCCTGACACAGCTACTGCAAGCCATGTTGGCAACCTGTACAATGACAATGTTATGGCCCATTTTAGGAAAGTCTTAAAGGAACGGGAGGTACAGAGTTCTTTGGACAGATTTGTTGTGTGACAGAGGTCCAGTGACTCTCGGGCTGGTCCTAGTGGCATTAAAAGAAGGGAAGTAACCCCGGAAAAGGACCTGCTACCTCAAGTCCTAATGGAAGGGATTCCCCTTCTAAACAATAACTTTTACACTCTCCCCTCCTCCCATCCCATCAATCACCAGATCTTCAATAAAGGTAAGTGTCATGTATTTTATTCTTAGTAGAGTAGTAATTGTGCATGTCTTCAGTTTGTGTGTACTAAAATTAATATTTCATGTGGTAAAAATTTTTTTTTTTTTTTTTCATACTTTGGGGTGTCAGGAACGGATTAATTTGATTTCCAATGGGGAAAATTAATTCGGTTAACGATAATTTCGGCTTACAATGAGCTCTCAGGAACAGATTAATATCGTAAGATGGGGGTCCGCTGTAATATAGTCACAGGGAAGCGCCAAACCCGTAGGATTATACAGGCTACACTTCATAGAAATAGTTTGTTGTCTATTTGTGTTTGCTGGGCTTGAGTCCCTGCTCTCAACTCTGCCTGCCATTACTTGTTTCTAGCTTCTTAGACTTTTTCATACCTACTCTTCAAACTGTGTAACAAATTTCCCTCACATTGTCTAACTATTCCACTTGTCTACCAAGCTTGAGACTTAAATGCTTCCTTACAGCCCTATGGGCAATCTATATACAGGGGAACCTCGTTATGCGACCTCAATTCATTCCAGAAGGCCGTTCGAGTGCTGCTCTGTTTGAATATCGAACAAGTTCTTCCCAACCAATTTTCTGTTTGGTTGGCTGTTATCACTAATCATCATAGACCCCATGGTGACTTATTTATACAATACAAAAAAAATTTGAAAATGCACGAAATAATTTACAGTGAAGTTCTGGCAGGTCATATTTGTTTGGTTGAGTGCTGAGCTTTGTTCGAATAGGGAGCTGGTCATATACCAAGGTTCCAATGTATTTAGTTTACATGCGTTTCCTCAGTACACCAACTTACCGTCCTTCTCATCACACTTGGGTCCGAGCCATCCTGGGGTGCATGAGCAGTGACCTGTAGCAGGGTGGCATGTGCCACCATTGTGGCACTCACACACTTGTTGGCACCCCCGCCCATACCTGCCTGTCCCGCATGCTGTAAAAATAAACATGTCATAATCTTGCCTTAAACTTGTCCAAACTACATTTAATGAGGTGATAATTATAAAAGAAAAATATAGAAATGAAATCATAAGCTTGATTCTCTCACTCCAAAATATTTTATGTTTTGTATAATATCTTACACTCCCTTTGCTCTTTGATGATTGTGAAGGACTCTTGATCCAGGGAATTTAAACTACCCTTCACTTGGCTAAAACCTTGTCTACCATTCCTTATTTTCCAGGTGCTGTATGATCCCTATAGATGTAATGTTTCACCAAAAATATTACACTAGTCATACACCCTTCATACCAGTGAAGGGCTAATAATCTAAGAAATTGTAGCCTTCCTTCTTTCTTTGGATTAAATCTAATCTCCCATTCCCCAGGCACTGTATGACCCCATGGATTAAGTTCTTCCCCATTATTATTATTGTACTATCATAAAAAAGTGAAAAATAATAATTTCATTAAGAACCTAGCAATAATAAATATGATTTACGTATGCGAGTGAGGGTACTCACGCATAAGACAGTATTCTCCCTTAGTGCCAGGTGGGCACTGGCAGTCTCCAGTTTCTCTGTGGCATGGGTACTCTCCACACTGACACTCCTCACGACAATGGACACCATACTTCCCTGAAATTATATGAAGGATACAGTTCCCCTGTAAACTTTAGTAGACATGAAATTAATAGTGGAGTTATGAGAGGTGTGTATTTTTCATTGTATAAAGACATTGTGAAGTATTCATCCTGCAATGTGTTTGTACATAAATAGTATATAAAACTGAAAAGATGAATTACATCTGGGTTGCATATGTGTAATTCTGCAATGTGTAGGGCCCCACTTGTATGGCAGGTTAGGTTCCAGGCTACCACCAGAAAGCAGAATGCCATTTTTCACTTATAAATGCATATAAATACCAGATAAGATTACATTAACATATATTAAATTAGCAATATAACCAGGCATTAAAAACAATGGAAAGTAAAATACACACACAGTACACTCATTACTTACCTTAAAATATTTGTAGTCTTAATGTAAGGTGAGAGGCAAGTAGTATCTATTGTAAGAAGTCAGGTGTGGGAAGTATGATAGCTAGCCAGGCCACCCCACCCACATGTAATGTACTATGTACATCTACAGTGCCCCAGAGCGATAAAATGCATATGCACTATACTTAATGTAGGGTGAGAGGCGAGTAAGTGAGGTAAAACGAATAAATGAAAAAGAGAGAGAACAAATAAATGGGAGGAGAGAGATGTGGAGCAGTGTACACAAGTAGGCAAATGTGTCTGGTTTTGGTTCACACACTTAACATCTCATACTGTGGGGTATATTTATCATGTTTATATGTTACATAGCATGTTTATTATATAATTTTGAAAAAAATATCAAATTAATGAAAATGTTAATATTAACATATACAACATTTAATATGCCTCAGAGTGATTATTATTGCGTATTATTAATATGGCATCCTCAAGACTAATAAGACACTCTTAGTGATTTTAATGTGTACCTGCATGCCAGCATAGTAAGTTTATTTAGGTACAGGTGCACAAAAGTTTAGTTATCAGAGTATATATAAAACATGAAATAACTTTAAAGCACTTGAAATTTTGGAAAGTTTCTAGACATAATGGGGAGACACGGTGCTCATGGAGCTCACAGAAAATGTAAACAAACCAGGTGGGGCACGGTGACTATTAAAAAGTCAGGTGGGGGGAGCCATATAGCGAGTTTTGGTGATAATTTGAAATGTCCATATTAGCGGAGTGCCGTAAGGCGAAACACTGTTTACTGTGTGTATGTATATCTTCTTCTTTCTTTCAACACACCGGCCATATCCCACCGAGGCGGGGTGGCCCAAAAGGAAAAACGAAAGTTTCTCCTTTTACATTTAGTAATATATACAGGAGAAGGGGTTACTAGCCCCTTGCTCCCGGCATTTTAGTTGCCTCTTACGACACGCATGGCTTACGGAAGAAGAATTCTGTTCCACTTCCCCATGGAGATAAGAGGAAATAAACAAGAACAAGAAAGAAAATAGAAGAAAACCCAGAGGGGTGTGTATATATGCCTGTACATGTATGTGTAGTGTGACCTAAGTGTAAGTAGAAGTAGCAAGATGTACCTGAAATCTTGCATGTTTATGAGACAGAAAAAAGACACCAGCAATCCTACCATCATGTAAAACAATTACAGGCTTTCATTTTACACTCACTTGGCAAGACTGTAATACCTCCCTGGGTGGTTGCTGTCTACCAACCTACTGCCTTTAATAATTATATATATATATATATATATATATATATAATATATATATATATATATATATCTTTCTTTCAACACACCGGCCGTATCCCACCGAGGCAGGGTGGCCCAAAAGAAAAAACCAAAGTTTCTCCTTTCAAATTTAGTAATATATACAGGAGAAGGGGTTACTAGCCCCTTGCTCCCATATCATATATATATATATATATATATATACAGGAAGGCCCCGCTTTACGGCGTTTCACTTTACGGCGTTCCGCTAATACGGACATTTCAAATTATGACCAAAACTCGCTATATGGCTCCCCCCACCTGACTTTCTAATACGGTCACCGTGCCCCACCCTGTTTGTTAACATTCTCCATGAGCTCAGTAAGCACTAAGTCTCTCCATTTTGTCTGGAAACTCCAAAATTTCAAATGTTTTTAAAAGTTATTTCATATTTTATATATACTCTGATAATTATACTTATGTATACCTGTACCTAAATAAACTTACATACATCGAGTCATTTAAATGTCGTATATTACGTTAATATACACATTTTCATTAATCCATCCATGATTATTTTTTTCAAAATTATATAATAAACACGATGCATAACATATAAATAAGATAAATACACCCCACAGTAGAATAAATAAACATAAATGTGATCTGTGGTAGCAGACGACTTCCACAAGTGACGCCATAATAACAATAGTCACGGAGTCTCATTAAATGTCGTATATTACGGTAATATACACATTTTCATTAATCCATCCATGATTTTTTTTCAAAATTATATATAATAAACACGATACATAACATATAAATAGAGATAAATACACCCCACAATAGAATAAATAAACAAATGTGGAGCTGTTAGCTGACGACTTGCACAAGTGTGATAATAACAATACGTAGTCTCATTAAATTCTTATTTATGTAATATACACATTTTCTTAATCCATCCATGAATTAATTTTCAAAATTATATAAGTAAAAGATGCATAACATATATAATAGATAAATACACCCCAAGTAATAAATAAACATAAATGTGATCTGTGGTAGCAGAGCACTTCCACAAGTGCTGACTAATAACAATAATCACCGGATCTCTTAAATTATATACTTGTCATACACATTTCATTAATCCAGCATGATATTATTTTTCAAATTATATAATAAACACGATACTATAACATTAAAAAGATGTAAATACGCCCAATAGAATAATAAATAAATATAAGATGTGGGAGCCTGGTTTTGTTTACTCTGTGGAAAGCCTGTCACCTCTCATGTACATCATTCTTTCCTTCTGCTACTGACTAACCGCTTATAAGGGCTTCCTATATTTACTTAATCCTGACCTAACATTAAGACTACAAATATTTTAAGGTAAGTAATGAGTGAACTGTATATAATTTTAATCGCTACCCGAGCTTAATTCATAGAATAGTATGTGGGTGAGGTGGCCTGTTGAAATAGTCTTGGTATTACAATACATACACACTTGGATTTCTTACAAAAAATCACTTGTCTCCCCTAGATTAAGACTATAAATATTTTAAAGGTAAGTAATGAGTGCACTATGTGTGTATTTACCTTTTATTGTTTTTGATGCCATGGTTCTATTGCTAACTTAATATATGTTAGTGTAAACCTTGTTATCTAGTGTTATGTATGCATTTTATAGTGGAAAAAAAGGTGTTCCACTTACAGCATTTCCGCTTTACGGCGGTAGCCTGGAACCTAACCCGCCGTATAAGTGGGGCCTTCCTGTAATATATTTATAATATTTTATATATATATATATATATATATTAAAAATATATATATATATAAATAACCCAGAAGCTTGCATCTTTTGGCACATATTTGCTGAACTTATTTAATTCCAGTTTTGAGGATTAAAATAGTCTAGTGGAGCATAGGTAACACAAAATCTTAATGGCCCTTCATGTAGCAAATACACTTTAAACCCAGTAAATTTTAAAATAATTTCATAATGACTTGTTTTCCACACACATACATTTCCCACAAACTCAGTCTATTCTTGTAACTGTTTTTATTCCTTTCTCACTTGCTATATTACCCATATGAATTACCCTATGAATTAAATACTCTTTTCAGGACTCACCTGAAGGGCAGGCATCAGCACAGGTGTCACCTGTAAAGCCTGGGGCACAGCGACACTGGCCAGTACTGGGGTCACAGGTGGCACCGTTGTGGCATTCACAAGCACGAGTACAATAGGCACCAAAGAATCCGGCCGGACACTCTGGGGAAAGAAGAGTGAGTGAATATTGCTTTGTTTACAGTATGTTCCATGTTGGGTATAAGTATAGTGTTGTGGAGGCGATAATTTGTGAAAAGGCAAGGCAGTTGCATGCGGATCTTGCAAGGAAAACACCTGGACAGAGTGCTGCTGTTAGCGAATTTAAGGCCAGCAGAAGCTGGTTCGACGAATTCAAAAAGCGAACCGGCATACACAGTGTGATAAGGCATGGCGAGGTTTTAAGTTCGGACAAACATGGGGCCAAAGAATTCGTTGATGAATTCAAGGAGTATGTAGAGGCTGAAGGATTCCTCCCCCAACAAGTCTTCAATTGTGACGAAACAGGCCTCTTTTGGAAGAAAATGCCAAAGAGGACCTACATCATGCAGGAGGAAAAGGCATTGCCAGGACACAAGCCTATGAAGGATAGGCTAACTCTCTTGTTCTGTGGTAATGCTAGTGGGGATTTCAAACTGAAGCCTTTACTGGTGTATCACTCTGAAAATCCCCGAGTGTTCAAGCAAAACAATGTCATCAAGAGTAAATTGTGTGTGACGTGGAAGGCTAACAATAAGGCATGGGTCACGAGGCAAATTTTCATTGAGTGGGTCAATGAAGTGTTTGGCCCGAGTGTGAAGAAATACCTCCTGGAAAATCAATTGCCACTTAAGTGCCTCCTGGTAATGGACAATGCTCCTGCTCATCCTCCAGACTTGGAAGACCAATTGTTGGAGGAGTTTAGTTTCATCACAGTGAAGCTCTTGCCCCCTAATTCCACTCCTCTCATCCAGCCCATGGACCAGCAGGTCATTGCAAACTTCAAAAAACTCTACACCAAAGCACTGTTTCATAGGTGCTTTGAAGTGACCTCAGACACTGAATTGACCCTAAGAGAATTCTGGAGGAATCACTTCAATATCCTCAACTGCATAAGCCTTATAGATAAGGCTTGGCAGGGAGTGACTTCCAGGACGATGAACTCTGCTTGGAGAAAATTGTGGCCAGAATGTGTCCTTGAGAAGGATTTTGAAGGGTTTAAGGCTGACCCTGACGACCCTACGCCTGTTGTGGAATCTATTGTGTCTTTGGGGAAGTCCATGGGATTGGATGTGAGTGGCCAGGATGTGGAAGAGTTGGTGGATGACCACAGGGAAGAGCTAACCACTGAAGAGCTGCAAGACCTTCAACTGGAACAGCAACAGACTACAGCTGAGGAAATTGCTTCAGAGGAGGAGGAAGAGAGAGGGAAGAATGTGCCTTCTTCAGTGATTAAGGACATGTGTGCAAAGTGGAATGAGTTGCAAAGTTTTGTGGAGAAATATCACAATAACAAAGCTGTTGCAAGCCATGTCTGCAATATATTCAATGACAATGCCTTGTCTCATTTTAGGCAAATCTTAAAGAGACGCCAGAAACAGACCTCTCCAGACAAATTTTTTGTGCGACAGATGTCCAGTGACTCTCAAGCTGGTCCTAATGCCAGTAAAAGACAAAGAAGGGAAGTAACCCCAGATAGGGCGTTGATACCTGAATTCCTTACGGCTGGGGATTCCCCTTCCAAAGAGTAACCTCTCCCCCTCCGTCTCGCCTCCTCGCCGTCTTCCATATGCCAACAAGAGTCTTCAATAAAAGTAAAAGTGATATTAAATGTTCATTTATCCATTTCATTAGTCATTTATATTTATTTCTCATTCTTTTCTGTATGTAAAACTATAGTTGTTCTCTGTAAAATGTATTTTTTGCTTTTATTTTTGGGTGTCTGGAACAGATTAATTGGATTTACATTATTTCTCATGGGAAATATTGCTTCAGTTTTCATCAGACTTTTTCAAACAGATTAATCATGAAAACTGAGGTTCCACTGTATTGTATTCAGGAACAGGCAGGCCCCACTTTTACAGCAGGTTAGGTTCTGGGCTACTGTGAAGTGAAACAGCCTTTTTTTCAGTTTCAAATGTATATAAAAGCCTGATATCGTGTTTACACTATCATATATTAAGCGAATAATAGAGCTAGGCCTAAAAAATGCATATTCAGTACACACATTATTTACCTTAAGATATTTTCATCATTAGCTTATAGGGAGTGGTAAATATATATATTGTAGGAAGTCTTGAATAAATGAAGAATGGGTATAATTGAAAACTACTGCATTAGCGAAATGCTGTAGTGCAAAGCACTGTAAAATGGGGCTCTCCTGTACTACTCTTGCTATCTCAGACTACAGAAACTGTAACCACATGCCAGATGCAAATATATTCCCTCATTTTTAAAAATCTCAAGAAAAACAATGTCTATGTGCTGACTCTTACACCTGCTACTTGTACATCACTGTTTCTTCCTTCATGCTGGAGAAGGGCTCGAGCTACTCCCCAACTATTGTTTCATGGTATTCCTTAATTTCTCATTTGGATATCTCGCTCTTTCAGAATTTCAATGAAAGAATACAGCTTGTCCTCACTTAACGATGGAGTTCCATTCCTAAAACCACATCAGTAAATGAATTTGTTGCTAAGTGAGGAGCATACTATAATAGTAGTGGGTTTGTGCCAACCATCTTTGATATTGTTTTAATGTCACCTTTGCACCATTTATAACATTTCTGGTATATTTTTAAACATTTATACAGTAATGTACTGTATATTGTAATACTCAGAATAGAGGAAATCAGCTCTAATATACATTATTTAGGTACGTATACTAATCAGGGAGCCCGTCGTAAGTGAGTCATTAGTAAACGAGTTCATTGCTAAGTGAGGAGAGGTTGTATTGTATATTGCATACTACCATTTATAAATAACCACACCTTACTAAAATATAAGGCAATATAAATAATATATGTGGTTTTGAATTATTTGTATGTTACACTGTAATATTTTTGACTGAATTTGTCTGCATAAACAACTCACTATGCTGTAACGAAATATAAACATGTAAATAGTGCATCATCACTTTAACTTGCTTAGCTATCTAAACTTTAGGGCCCAGTCCCTGGACCCATTATGTACCTCTGTAATCTGTTGACTGCCTCCCACAGGATGGGTATGGGGTACATAATAAAGATATTAAACTAATATGCTATATAAATCAATTCCCCTTCAAGATGGGTGTGTTGATGCTGGTGAATGGCTCTTGATCCTATGAATTGATGGCACCCTTCCCACCCTTCGATCAAGCCTAAATAACTATATTTACCCAGGCACTATGACCCTTATGGGTTCAGATTTCAAATTCAAGTTTGTTTCCTCATGATACATTGTTTATACAGGAATGGGTGACATTTGAATGCCTGCAGAATACCCATGGTTATACAGAGTATTTTGGGCAAGCTTAAGTCTAACTTAAGGCTACAAGGGCAGTAAACATTAAATTTATACAAATATTGAATAAGTGAGTATATAATGAATGTGTATGTCAGTAGATTAAATATATCATTGTACATGAATATAATACTGGTATTGGTTTTTCATTTTTCAGTTGTCACATTCTTTTGTAATATATCAAAGTAAACAGGAATCCTCCAAGTGGTGACCAACTTAGCTAACTCACAGTAATAGCTAATTTAGCCAGCTTGCCATTGCGAGTGACTTACCCAGTTCACAGTAGCGGCCATAGCGACCAGGACCACACTGGCAACAGCCAGAAAAGCGGTCACAGGACACATTGTGGTGGCATGCACAGTCCAGCTGACAGTCTGGTCCATACCGACCTGGTCCACACTCCTGGCTACAGTCTGGTCCAGTCCACCCTAGCCCACACTGGCACTTTCCCGTCACTGAAATAAAAAAAAAATAGGCAGTCAAGATATGTAATAAAAGGGTTGTGTTCCAAGGAATTTGATCTACCCTGCCTTTGGATAAAATCTACTTGCCTCTCATTTCATAGGCACTGTAGAGCCCCTGCAGGTTTAGTGTGAGGATGGTTCTAATATCTAATATTTTCTTTGCATATGAACCCTTCAATGAAAGTTGCCTACATGCTAGTTAAGGGCTTTTGATCAGAGGAATCTGAACAGTTTTCATTCTCTGTTTCAGTTTGATCTCCTCTCATTCCTTAAACGGTCCAAACGTATATATACGTTTTTTCAACATCTGAAAGTATGTAAAAAAATGTAGATCTTTTTTGTTTTACATTTGAAAACGTGTAAAAAAAACTTTTATCTACATTGTTTTTTGTTATATTTGAAAATATGTAAAAAAAAGTAGATCTACTTTTGTAGCACTACGAATCTGAACGTCGATTTGTTTGGACCGTTTAAGGGTTAAGTGTTGTATGACCCCTATGGACTTAGTGCTTCTGCATGTATATAATAATTTAGATGACAGTATAAAGGAAAGAGTCAGTATTTCACTGGAACAAAACACAGCTAGACTACAAAATGGAAATGGAAACTGTAATAAAAATAGGTCTGTTTAGTTCCATTCTAAAAATTTAGTCAAGACTTTATAATAATCCATGATGGAAAGAAATGCTAACTGCACTGAATTTCCAGTTATTGGTTTTAAATAGTAGAGACTGATAGCATTGGTGACTGTCAGTTACCTGGGTGGCAGATGGCATTGTTGTGGCAGGCACAGTAGAAGGCACAGCGAAGGCCCCAGGTCTGATCTGGGCAGGTGGTCTCACATCGAGGACCCGTGTACCCAGCAGGGCATACGCACTCTCCCACACCATTGCACATACCCCCATGCTCACATTCGCATGTCTGCCCCACCAACGTGCAATACCAATGTTAGTGGACCCACGAAATATACATAACTAGTAAACAAAGCTCTGGAGACTTTTCTTCATAGAATTTTCTATAAATAAAAACATTAAGGTTAGCAATATCAGACAGAGACTTAGTAGCCACACATAGGAACTGAGAAGACAGCTAGGACAATCAAATCCAATCCTCTCAAGGAAGGTTCCTTGATGCCAGTAAGTGGCTTTAGATTCAAGGAATCTGACTTGGATTTCCCTTCCTTAGATTGAATCTCATTGCCTTGCACAGAGTTAGTTCTCCTTCCATTAATAAATAAAAATTATAATATAATAATTCTAAGATTATTTTATATTCTGAGGGACACATATTTAAGCTGAAAGAGAAGTTCAGTTACACAAGGGCTAAATTGCTAAGAATCTAGGTAGGTATGGGTTAGGTGACTAAAAATCTATTGAGGGTGAAGCATAGATGCCAATTAATTTAGGTAGGGATGTTCTGAATTGAAAAGAATCTGCATAAGGATGGCCTAGACATCAAAGAATCTAGACAATTAGCTCTTGGATAAAAGAATGAAAAGAATAAAGATTTTATTTCTCTGCAAAGGTTACAATGTGTAATTGCAATTTTGGTTTGTTAGTACAAAGAAAGCTAGTCATGCCAGGGCATTTCAGGCAGACTAATCCTTGTACATAATAACTACTTGAAAATGAAAATGTTTAGTTCCCTGTAAAGCTTACAATGTGTGGTTTACATATTTTAAAATATTACCATGTTTCACAGCTTATTAGACATTTTTTTTTTCCATAAAATGTCTCCAAAAACCACCCTGCATCCTATAAACTGAAGGTCAGTGACAGGAGCTGTAAGTTTGGGGTGTGAGGTGGGCTGTAGCTCTCCCAGTCCATTGTTCCAAAATTACAGTACAACTGTACATTAATAACATTTTGAGACAAGCTATTTATGAAATACGGATACTGTAATGGGATATTGACAGAAAACAAAATTCCTACTTGAGTAACACCTTCCTTTCTTATTTCTTAAACTACCAAAGTCACAAAGCAGCATCATTTATGGTAGGAACTTAAAAATAATGCTACTGTATACTAAGCTATTGTTAGCACATGCTGGGTATTTTCACTTTATTACTAGGTACTGGTAATCATATTTACCGAATGTTATGGTACTTATAGTTTCAAATATTGCCAAGCAAATACAGTGGCCCAGCAATGGGTGAAGCAGCCATTTTTGTTTATACTGACAGTCACTGACAAAGACACGTCAGTATGCACTCTGGGACCCTCACTGTATAGAGTTGCTCACACTGCAGCAACTCAGCCACCAGTGACTGTTTCACCAGTTCAAACTGAGAGATCATCAGGGTGTTCAGGTGAGCACTAGGCCTATTGTATGTTTTGACCTACCCATAAATCAAACATAACCTTATTTCTGCATGTAAAATTACCATAGGTTTCAGTCAAGTAAATATTACTTGGTATTAGGCACTCTTAATTTATTTTCTGATTTTTACCTTCTAAATTGGGATGTGTCTAATGCATTGGAGTGTCTTATATGTTGCAAAATACGGTAATTACAAAGAAGGCCTCTGGCATGCCTAGGCATTTCGGGCAAATCTAGACAAGATAAGAGTGATTAACTTTTTTAACATGTCTTTATTTAATCTTAATACTAATGTGAGCTGGTCAAGGCGGAGGTTTATAAGAATAATAATCTTGAAATTATGTGCTTCTGTAATCTGTTGACTACCTCCCACAGGATGGGTATGAGGTGCATAATAAAGAACCCTAGGTATGGAAGTTTTGGTTAGCAAAAAAATTAAATAATGAAGGCTCAGATGGCTAAGAATATAGGCAGGGAAAGTTTGGATATACGTGGAGTATATCAATGCCCCCATGGCCTGGTCTGTGACCATGCCTCATAGCTAAGAATCTAAGTAGAAAAGACCTTGGTAGCTAAGAATTTAGGAAAGACTTGGATAGCCAAGAATCTAAGTGGAAAAGTCCTGGGTGACAGACTCTAGGGGCAAGGAAGGCCTTGTTATTCAAGAATCTGTATATAGATAGCCTGGACAGTTGAATGATTAATTAGAAAAGGCAGTGATGCTCCACATTGTCAAAGAACACCTCACCTCATTGCAGTTAAAGCCATAGGTGCCATCTGGACAGGGAAGGGCACAGGTGGGGCCATAGAAACCATCGTGACACTGGCACTGTCCACTCACAGGGTCACAGGTACCACCATTGTCACACTTGCACTTCTGTAAAAAAAAAAAAAAAAAAATCATTGTCAGTGTCTGATTTGCTAATTTTTTATTCAGTGTCCTTGAGAGCAGCAACTGGAAGATTGAGGCTGTATTGCTTCTTGCAATGAGTGACTCATCTGTTTATACAGGCACTCCTCACTTAACCTACCTGTTTAACAACCACTCATTTATGACCAGCAATCTGACCTAAGATAAGATTTCGTTCGGATTTTTAACCCCGGAGGGTTAGCCACCCAGGATAACCCAAGAAAGTCAGTGCGTCATCGAGGACTATCTAACTTATTTCCATTGGGGTCCTTAATCTTGTCCCCCAGGATGCGACCCACACCAGTCGACTAACACCCAGGTACCTATTTGCTGCTAGGTGAACAGGACAACAGGTGTAAGGAAATGTGTCGAATGTTTCCACCCGCCGGGAATCGAACCCGGGCCCTCCGTGTGTGAAGCGGGAGCTTTAGCCACCAGGCCACCGGGCCACACACCTGTTGGTATTGTATGCTGTATGAGAACTTGGGTTGTGGAAATGGCAGCTCAGCATCAAGCAGTCTCCAAGACTATATATTTTGTCTATTAATTTGTACTTTATTGTGCACCCATAGTACAAGACAGAGTATGAAGCACAGCAGCACTTGGAAGAGGAAAGAATGGAAGTACAAAAGAATTTCACTGTAAAGGAGTTAGATGATGTGTTCGTCTATTTGTTTGCATTCTTTGCATGTCTCGTTTATTATAGCATCTAAGGAAAAGTAAGTAAGGTTATTCAGATACAGATACACAAACAGTTGCAGAAATTATTATACATAGCAGCATGTGTGTAGATTACCTAGGATAACCCAAAGTGACTTTTTGAGGTTATCCTAAGTAATCAACACACATACTGTTATGTATGATAATTTATGTGACTATTTATGTGTACCTGTACCTGAATAAACTTTCTTAACGTACTCCCCCTTAGATGCCATTGTAAATGAGATGCAGAGAATGTAAACAAACAGACAAACACCACATCTAACTCCTTTACAGTGAACAAGTTATGTCAATGGTAATAATAATAATAATAATAATTGCTCTGGAGTGCTTTAAATATCGTATATTTCGTGTAGGTGTGGTACACAAAATACATATGACATTTAACCCTTTCAGGGTCCCCAGGCCCTCTCCCAGACTTGTTCTCAGGGTCACCTAAATTTAAAAAAAAAAAATTGTTTTTTCTTATGAAAAGATAGAGAATCTTTTCCCGATCATAATGACACCAAAATTATGAAATTTGATGGAAAATTTACGGAATTATGCTCTCGCAAAGTTAGCGGTCTCGAAGATGTTTATGCATCGGCAATTTTGCCCACTTTGAGCCCTATTTTCGGCCAATTCCAGTGTACTAGTCGACAAAAATCATAACTATTTCGCTAGAACTCCATTTTTCCTATCGAATGAGTACAAGAAACCACCCATTTACCGATTTCAACTATCCAATACAGTGGTCAGAATTTAGCAATTTTGCCAATTTCACACAAATTTCAAAAGATGCCAATTTCCAAATAGGGTCCAGAATAAATAAGAAAGACATTCCTGGCACTAAAATAACATTTCCTCTGTTCATTAGTCATGTCCCCATGCCCCTCTTACATTCTTTTGCTTTCCACTTTGAATTTTTATTCTCACAAAAAGTAGAAGATTTACTGTTATGCAGACTATTGCATTAATGAAGAAATGGTATAAACAATATCGGAGCACTTGTGAAAGAATATTAGACTCGCCAGTTGATGTGTATTGACGCTTAGCATGATTTGTTTACTTCTAAACTTTGGTAAAAATCGAACATTTCTGCTACTTTGAGCTCAATTTCAAGGTACTTTTCATTGTAAAACCAGTCAAAATCACCTCAATTTCTGTAATATGTCTTCCATTCTATAAAATGAGACAAGGAAAACTAGAATACAACAATAAATACCATACGAAAATACAGTGCAAAGTCGCTCTTTTAATCCAAAAACACGGTCAAAGTTTTTTTTTTCTCATTACGCACTGTGCTGCAGGATTTTTTTTATACTGCGCTCACTGAAAACATAGACCCATTCTTTCATATGTAGGCCTACCAGCTTTCTCTCACTAGATTCGAGGGCGCTAGAATTTAGGCGTACTAGTATGTCAAAAATCCTGGTGCGTAAGCCGTACTAGTACGTCCGAAACCCTGAAAGGGTTAATAAAGTGCCCCAGAGCGATTATTATTATTATTATTATTATTATTATTATTATTAAATAAACGAGAGAGAGAGAGAGAGAGAGACAGACACACCGAGAATGTAAACAAACAGATGAACGTACGTATATTAATTCCTGTACGTTTGTGGAGAAAATTTCTCCAGTAAAGGGGGTGTCTCTTAGCCCTCTCAGTCCCCTCTCAGCCCTATGAGGGACTTAGCTCTCCTGCAGGAGGCTAGTGGACTCTTCCTTCTTCATAAACAGCTTTATGAAAACTACATGTATGTACCATAGCATCACGAGGCACGCCTTCTTCTCCTTGCTACTAGACAGACTGTTCTACTCATCCACTACTAGACAGACTGTTTCACTCATCCACTACTAGACAGACTGTTTCACTTGATCATCTACACAACGAGGTTAAACGAGAGTACAGTAATTACTCTTTTCTCCATAGCAGGAAAATTAAGGGAAAACCTGTGCCCCACTATCTACAAATTAGGACTATTAGGAATTCTAGTCTACAGCTAAATAACAAGAAACCTACCCTCTTGTATTGAATACTGTTGCAATGTGTAATAAGGAAGGTATATAAAGCTGAACTCAGCAGTTCTTTTGTGCAAAGGGTGACTGTGGGCACTTGGGCAGGGCGACAAGCTAGGTTGAATTCAGATATCAGAGCGTGACCACAAGCCACAAATCTCCCACTGAGAACAAAGAAAATACTGACTGTGTTGTAAACTCTGAAATACTCTCAATCTCCACTAGGAAAACTAGTGCTAAAATGAAACACAAGTGTATCATCAGTGGTATAATCCCAACATGTGTAAAGTTTGTGTCATGGTATGCATTCAGGTGTTATGAACAAAGTGACTCCTTATCAATGAGTGGGGACATAACTATGCATCTGTAGCAGCCTACTCAAGACAACAATACCAGGGTCACACCTCCCCTACAACAAGCTAGGAGAAATTGGGTCAGTTACAATACCCAGGTAAGTCCAGTCATACCCACACCTAATTACATTAGCTGCAGCTAATAGGTAGGGGCGGGATTTGACTGGAATTACGAATAGATTCCACGATAGTGGTAATTCACCCAAACCCAAGTATCACTATGCATTTCAGATGATAGTGAAATGTTGGATATATGCTCCTTTGGGGCAAATTGTTTTCTAACAAAACTGTTAATCAACAACCACTGTGGAATCTGGAACGGCACCCCAAAGGGATGTTCATGGGGAGGCTGCTAGACATCGTGCTGTTACCAGATAAGTACTGATAGCTGTATGCTTGTTTCATGCAGGAAAGTGTACTTATCTAACCAGTTCTCCACACAGTTGGTTCATACACATTCATTTCTCATACATTTGTGAAGCTTTTACCACAATACAAACTTTCGAGAACACACCAGCTAACCCCTTTAAAGTGAACTTCTTTTGTACTTCTTCCATTCTTTCCTCCTCTTCCTACAATAAATACTACTCACCTCTCACCCTACAAATATTTTAACTAAGGTATTTAATGAGTGTACTGTATGTGTATTTTACTTTTTTATTGTCTTTTAATACCTAGTTCTGTTTTTTAACCCTTTCAGGGTCCGTCCCGTAGATCTACGGCTTTACGTTCAGGGTCCAAACTGTAGATCTACGTCATGAGCTCAGCTCATTCTGATAAACTGTGAGTGGTACATTTGGGCCTAGATATGAGAGAATACATCTATGTGGTATGTGTGCACCACATAAAACAGATCCTGCAGCACACTGTGTATAATGAGAGAAAAAACTGAAATCATGATTTTTCGATTAAAACAGCGACTTTGCAGTGCTTTTCGTATGTTTTTTATAGTTGTATTTGCAATTTCTTGGTCTCATTTGATAGAATGGAAGACATTTTACAGAAATAGAGATGATTTTGATTGGTTTTAGCACAGGAAATGGCTTGAAACTAAGCTCAAAGTAGCAGAAATGTTAAATTTTTGCCGATATTCAAGAGTAAACAAACGACCTCACACGTCTAATACACGCCAGCTGGTGGGTCTAATATGCATTCACAAATATAGTGATGATATTTATACAATTATTACAGTATTGCATAACAGTAAATCTTCTATTTTTTGGTGTGAATAAAAATTCATTATGTGAATAAAAAATCAAAATGGAATTTATTTGTAAAGTCTCAAAACATAACTAATGAACAGAGGAAATGTTAGTTTAGTTCCAGGAATACCTACATTGTTTATCCTGGACCCTATTTTGAAATTGGAATATTTTGAACTTTGTGTTAAATTGGCCAAATTAACAATTTCCAATCACTTTAATTTGTAGTTGAAACAGTTGACTTGGCGATTTCTTGTGCTCAATCGATAGAATAGAAGTAATACTAGTGAAATAGCTAAGAATTTGGTTGACTGGAATAATGTAATTGGCCTAAAATGGGAGTCAAAGTCGGCAAAATCGCTGATTCGTAAATATCGCTGGCACATCAAAATTCGCGAGAGCATAATTTCGTCAATTTTCCATCAAATTTCGTACTTTTTGTTTTATTACCTTCACAAAAAGATTCTCTACCATTTCATAAGAAAAAATAACAAATTTTTTTTTTTAAATTCTTGGACACTGGCACCACTTCAGATTTGGGCCTTGAACCCTGAAGGGGTTAATATACTAAAAATGTTATAAATGGTGCAGGTGATGTTAAAATAATATCTAAAGATGGTCGGCACAAACCCCTACCAGTACAGTGTGCTTGAAATATTGGTAAGGGGCAGCTCCTCGCTTACCGACCTACTCGTAGGTACAGAACTCGGTCATTAAGTGAGGAGTGCTTGTATTAATATTTAAATACATGTTTACTTTTGAGTAAGTACAGTGCAACCTTAGTTGTTGATTGCATTACTTGTCAAATAAATTGGTTTTTGAATGAGGTGTTTGAGAAAAAATTTCCTGGTTTTCACATGTACTCTTGGTTGTCGACAGACAAATTTTCACGTGTACAGAACAGGACAAAGCAGTTCATGTCATGTGCTCACAGAATGCACACTGGACTTGAAATTGGGGAACTTGAAATTGAAGCCCTTACTTGTTTATCATTCTGAAAATCCACGAGTTTTTAAGAACACTGTCATGAAAAACAAATTGGCTGTAATGTGGAGGGCCAACACGAAAGCTTGGTAACAAGACAATTTTTTATTGAGTGGGTTCATGAGGTCTTTGCTCCCACTGCCAAAAAGTACTTCATTAAAAAATTGCCACTCAGAGTCCTTTTACTTATGGATAATGCTCCTGCTCACCCTCCAAGCTTGGAAAACAAGTTGCTGGAGTTCAGTTTTATAACTGTGAAGTTCTTGCCTCCCAACACCATTCCTCTCATCCAGCCCATGGACTAGCAGGTCATTTCTAACTTCAAGAAACTACACCAAAGCACTTTTTGAAAGGTGCTTTGAAGTCACTTCAGAAACAAATTTAACCCTCAGGGAGTTCTGGAAGGATCATTTCAATATCCTCACCTACTTGAGGCTTATACACAAAGCCTGGGGGAATATGTATTCCAGGATCATGCAGTCAACATGGAAGAAATTGTGGCCTGACTTTGTGGCAGCCAGGAATTTTGAAGGCTTTGAAGATGAGCCTGAAGCCAGTAGAGAATGTTGTGTCCCTGGGGAAGACCTTGGGCCTAGAGGTGACTGAAGATGATGTGGAGGACCACAGAACATTTTTTTATACATTGTTTTATGTAATACATTATTAATATATTATTATATTGTCATTTGGGATCTGGAACGGATTAATTCTATTTGCATTATTCTTTATGGAAAAAATTGCTTTGGTTGTCAAATCGACATCTGGAGTGAATTAGATTTGAAAGCCAAGGTTTCACTGTATACAGAGCTCTGTATTAGTTCTTTACTTATAATGGTTTCTTTTAAGCTTTAGGTGAAATCTAAAAAGTTACAATAACCTGGGTGGAACAAATCACCAAGAACTCACTTTTATGTGAGGAACTTTATAATGATGTTTTGCTCCATCCTGAACTATCAGACAATAATTCAGGATGGATAAAACATCATAATGAGGTTCTTCTCATAAGAGTGGGTTTTGGTTAGTCTTAAGTGAAGTTATGAAACATCACTTTAATAACATAACCTTTAAACAAAACACTGTCTGAATGATGTATATTACACATTAAGTCTAAACTGAATAATTAGCAAGGATTTAGCACCTCATATGAACTTATAAAATACAAAAGCAATACTAATTGCACAACTAGAAAATTATCACTAATATAATGAAAAGGAGGCTTAGAGGGGCTTGATACCATTAAAGTTCTTGATAAAAAAAAAACCTGAAGCAAACTTCTCCTTCCTTTGATCAGATTTAATTGATAATAACTTACAAATTAATGTATAAACATGCACAATAATTTCAACACCTTAATATGCACAGCATTTCCTCAGATTGTATGATCTTATTGGTAATTATGTTTGACCAAAGGAAGAGAAGGGTTGACTGCAATTCCCTTAGATGAAGCACACTTCACCAGCATCAAGGCACCCTCCCCCCATCCCTTTGAAGGGCTACCACATAGAATGTGACACCATGTTCTTCCTGTTAGTGTGTTGGTGTATAGGAATCAGACCCTTTGCTCACCTGGTTACAGTCTACACCATATCTGCCCCGTGGACAACCTCTTCGACAGTTGCGGCCACGAAGACCTGCAGGGCAGAAGCACTCTCCACTGACAGGGTCACAGAGGGAAGATCTGGCACACTGACACTCATGGAGGCACTCCTTCCCCCATCGCCCATCAGCACAATCTGTAGAGTAAGAGATGTTCACTCATTCAGCAATGTATCTAATGATGAGTAAGACGTATGTGACAGTAACCTTTATTGTTGAAATGTTTCACCTGTTAGCAGGCTTCTTAAGTCGAATACAGGTGAGGAATTGACCACTGTCTAAGACCAAGGGACTGACCACCTTAAATTTATCTCCATTTCTTCTACGGTCTCCAGTGTTATAATTGCCTGTATTCAACTAAATAAGATTGCTGCACATGCAATCATAAGCAATACATAACTGTTAATAATGTGTCTTATCATCTTGTCATATTTTATACCATTTATAATATGGTAGTAATTAGTGATGTTTCCCTCAAGGAGCATTCCTTGATATGTATTAGGGATTCTTGATCCAACAATTGGACCTGCTCTCCATTTTCTTGGATGAAATTTGACTGCTTCCCATTTGCCCGAGTGCTGAATGAACCCTACAAATTTTGCATTTCTTCCATGAATATAATAATGATAATCTTCTGATGTCTGTTTTGATAAAATACTCTTGCCATCTCTTGATTAAAATTCATGTGATCTTGACAAGACTAGCAGAGATGCAAATGCAGAATATTTAAACACCTTATTGTTGACAAGACAATTCAAGGAAGTACTTTGATGTTTATGGAATCTTTATCTAAGGAACTGGAGCTACACTTCCCTTGAAAGTGAATGGTATGGTGATACCATGATGTTGAAAAGGACGCTTATGTAGAGTCTAAGACAATTAATAAAAACTCTTTGACACAAGTGGCTTCATCAGTAAAGAAAAGTCTCTCTCTCCCACCACTATATACACTCCTCACCTTCAATGCAGACTCCCTCTGACTTTGTCATCAACTGCTTTATAGTGCTCCCCACTACCCTTACTGACTCTGCCTCTTGCATACTCCTAACCCTCACTGGTCTCTGATCTTCACATATTTCATCTTTAGCACACACTTGTGGTGAAATGTTTACTTTACTAAATGCCCTGAACTGTATGCAAGTATCTTTTTCTACTCGCCCCCTTTTTTTTGGATCAAACCTAAGTACTTCCCATTTCCCAGGAGCTATCTGACCCTTATGGGGTTAGCACCTCCCTATTAAAATAATGATTAGAAACTGGATCATTGCTTGAGACTCATTACAAGCTGTTGCAAGAAAATGAAATTCTGGAAACAGGGTGAGATACTGACACTCGTGGCACTGGTGCCCATGACGGCCTGGGGGGCAGGTGCAGGCACCAGTTACGTGGTCACATGGCTGGTCTCCCTCACACTTGCAACTCTCGTCACACTTATCACCAAAGAATCCAAAGGGACAGACTGCAAGTGAAGGAATTAAAACCCATTTTGAAAATGAGGACTGTCAAATATCGACAGAATTACTCTTAATTACCTCAATTTAAACTCAAAATATTTTTCTTTTTATAATTTAAATGATGACTTAAGGAATGAATAAGGAGCTATTAATATTTACTAAATTGGCATCTGTCGCCGGTAAAACCAGGAGGACATCGGCACTCCCCAGTGATAGGATGACAGTGAGTGCCATGTTCACAATCACATGTCTGCTCACATCCATCTCCCCAGAACCCTGTGGGACACAGCTTCATCAAGATTTAAATAACAATGCACATATTAATACATACATATTATTCTTCTTTCTATAGATGATGAATTCTAAATTACTTATTTCACTGAGTAAAGACATAAAAGCATGGAAGACTTGCCTTTAACTTTGAATTCAGTACTAAACAATTGACAGGACCAAGTTAATTAATTTCTGTGTTCAAATGTCAGTTTCATTAATTGGCCATTGATATGAGATATTGTATTGGTATCCCATTGACAAAATATGACACTACAAAGTGCATGACTACAAATATAGTTGTGTGGGTCATAAACTGACCTCAATAATGTTGATTATGGAGCTAGATACTGACCTTTGTGGCAGGGTTTGTGGCAGTCTTGACCTCGCCAGCCTGGAGTACACTTACAAGCACCAGTGACAGGGTCACAATGGCCTCCGTGCTGACAATGACATTCCAGCGCACACCCGGGACCATACCTGCCCAGGTCACAACCTGAGGAACAACAATATTTCTTGCACAAATCACAAATTATTACCTAATAAAGAAGGAAAGCCTAGTAGAGAGAGCAGAGATTCTGTTTCGGAAGCGAAGGGCAACGAACTGAGGTGCAACCTGCAGCACTGACCCTTATGGGTTTAGCACTTAGTTTTGATTGTAATAATAATGAGCTACAACTCCTCAGTACTTCTAATCCTCAGCAAAGAGCTAAACAAAAAAAATAGGTTAAATGCCACATTACCATAACTGGAACAATTCACAACTGCTCCAAAAAAATTGTAAATTAAAACTGAACAGTGTTTTGGTTTGTCCAGGATCATCATTACCCTTCATCTTGGTAATAGTCCAACCCCAGAAGAGAGGTTCTGTAGTACTGATGGAATCTTGATCCAAGGAACTGGAGCTCACTCTACTTCCTTAAACTTGATTACCTCTCATTTCCCAGCCATTAAGATTTCTGAAAGTTTAGTACTTCTCTGTGAAAATAATAAAACTACTAATGATCCAGGACAGGCCAAAACAGCATTTGCTTATTTCTATTTTTTTTCTTTTAACACACCAGCCGTATCCCACCGAGGCGGGGTGGCCCAAAAGGAAAAATGAGTTTCTCCTTTTACATTTAGTAATATATACAGGAAAAGGGGTTACTAGCCCCTCGCTCCTGGCATTTTAGTCGCCTCTTACAACACGCATGGCTTACGGAGGAAAAATTCTGTTCCACTTCCCCATGGTGATAAGAGGAAATAAACAAGAACAAGAACTAGAAAGAAAATAGAAGAAAATCCAGAGGGGTGTGTGTATATATGTTTGTACATGTATGTTTAATGTGACTTAAGTGTAAGTAGAAGTAGCAAGACGTACCTGTAATCTTGCATATTTATAAGACAGAAAAGACACCAGCAATCCTGTCATGTAAAACAATTACAGGCTTTCGTTTTACGCTCACTTGGCAGGACGGTAGTACCTCCCTGGGTGGTTGCTATCTACCAACCTACTACCTAATTATTTTTTATTTTATGAAGTAACGAAGGAATCTTAGTTACCCTCCTTTTCCATACTGTAAAGCTCTTAAAGGTTTAGTGCTTTTTCATAAATATAACAGCATAGATGAACAAGACACATGTACAGTAGTTTGTTGAATAGTTTTGTCTGCTCAGCAGGAATCTTCAGTCAAAATGGTTTAGCACTTCCTTTTGATTATAACAATAATAATTCTGTCAAAATACAAAGGAGTCCACAGAAGTAGTGGAAATGTAGATATGAGGTGGTCAGTCCCGCAGCATTTATTTTCCCTTGGCTGAGGGACTGATAACCTCATATCTGCATCTCCACTACTGTTGTCTCCTGTGTTTTGACTGAAGAATCCTACTGAGAAAACAAACTTTCTGTAAGGTGGAGTACAGAAGGCCCCTTATTATACAATGCATTTTGGGCAGCCTTAAAACAAAATTATGATTACTAGTACATAAGGATGAAAATACAGTGGATCCCCGGTTAACGATATTTTTTCACTCCAGAAGTATGTTCAGGTGCCAGTACTGACCGAATTTGTTCCCATAAGGAATATTGTGAAGTAGATTAGTCCATTTCAGACCCCCAAACATACACGTACAAATGCACTTACATAAATACACTTACATAATTGGTCGCATTCGGAGGTAATCGTTATGCGGGGGTCCACTGTACTTGGTTTTTAAAATTGGAGGTATTTAGTAGGCGAGACCAGCACTGTATGGCTATTGTATGTTTAGCGCTTGGTTTTGATTATAATAATAGATGAAATGTCTCAAAAACGAAGATAATAAACTGTTGTACACGTTTTATTCATGTATACTTGGCGGCTGTGTACATCATTGTAATAGTAAAAACCAGACCTGTCTCACAGTAGGTGCCGGTGAAGCCAGGTGGGCAGATGCAACTCCCAGTGTCATGCTGACAGTTAGCTCCATGTTGGCAGAGGCAGGTGTGCTGACACCCACTGCCGTAACTTCCTTTAGGGCATCTGTCCTGGCATGTGGCACCGGTGTATCCCGGGGGGCAGACACAGGCGCCAGTCACACGGTCACAGGTGCCACCATTGTGGCACAAACATACATTCTGACAGTCGCTGCCCCAGCGGTCACTCGAGCAAGCTGCAAGGAAGAGCAAGATATCACACTTCTACAAGAAAGGTTCCATACCTGGAGTGTGTTCCGGGGGTCAACATCTGCACTGCCTGGTCCATGACTAGGCTTCACGGTTGTCGTGAGGGGTTCGAAAGGAGATATGATGGTTGAAAATAAACACACTTGTGGATGGTAACACTATATATTGTCAGACTGTGGTAAGGGAAGGGCAACCTGCCGTGTAGCTGCCTGGTATGTCTAAGCGTGGACTGAGAGCGAGGTAGCGCATCCCACTCACTCATGCCGCATCCCATGACGTCATACAGTCACTAGGCCTAGTAGAGATCATCTATATAAAACACATGGATGGTACTATGATACTCAGCTAAGCTATACAACACATGTAAGGGGATCAGCAACTATGCTGACAGCTCGGTCATGTTACGTATGTCGTCTCGACATACACTACTATTCTATAAGCTGAACAGGCAGGTGGTTCTGGGCTGATTCTATTCAATAACAAAGACATATGTAACAGAGCTAATGGATGGAATTGATCGATCAATCTGTGTTCATGCCCTCTACGGATTCTGAGGAAGAATAAATATATATACAAGGTGAAATTAACAGCAAAGGCAAATCTGGTGCACACGTATGCAGAATGGTTATCATCTTTGGGTGGATCGAATTCTTCTGCGATGGCTAACACATGCCTTGACTGAGGACAATCTGAACAAGTATCTACAAAAGATACAGCTACATTCACTAGTGACTGTGGAATTACTAACTCTTCTGCTAGGAGTACTCAACTCGACTATTCGATACAGTAATTCTTGGCTCATTACAAAGTCACTAATGGGTGCTGGTGGCTTCACAGTCAGAATAAGATCTTCCTGGAGCAGGAATCGAATCACACCAGACCACATGGGATCTGTTCTTTGGGCATTCTTTGCATCCTCGGCAGTATATGGAGAGTCTGTGGTTACTATACTAATGTGTAGCGATAAAGCATCTGCGACTACGTTCGACTTGCCAGGTAAATGTTCAAAAGTGGGATTGAACTCTTGGATAGTCATGGTCCATCTGGCTAACCTTCCAGTAGGTTGTTCGTTCTGGAACAAAGGTATCAGAGGTGCTTGGTCTGTCGAGACATGAACAGGGTACTGGTAAATAATGTCTTGGAAGTGCTTTAACCCTTTGACTGTCGCATTCCCCTTTCTGAAACTGTCATTCTATGTCGATAATTTTTGAAAAAAAAAAATTATTTTTTCTTATGAAATGATAGAGAATCTTTTCCCGATGGTAATGACACCAAAAGTTTGAAATTTGGTCGAAAACTCAGGGAATTACGCTCCTGCGAAGTTAGCGATCGCGGCAACATATGCGTATCGGCGATTTCGCCGACTTTGAGCCCTGTTTTCAGCCAATTCCGTTGTTCCAGTTGACCAAATTCATAGCTATTTATTTAGAACTCCATTTTATATATCAGCTGAGTACAAGAAATCGCCCATTTACCAATTTGAACTACCCAATATAGTGGTCAGAAATTGGCAATTTGGCCAATTTCACGCAAATTAAAAAAGATGCCAATTTCAAAATAGGGTCCAGAATAAACAAGGCAGACATTCTTGGCACTAAAATAACATATCCTCTGTTCATTCGTCACATCTCTAGGCCCCTCTTAAATTATTATTGCTTTCTATTTTGATTTTTTATTCATACAAAAAAATACAAAATTTACTGTTATGCAGACAACTGCATTATTGTAAAAATGGTATAAATAATATCAGTGCACTAGTGAAAGAAAATTAGACTCCCCAGTTGACGTGTATTGGACGTGTGGTATGATTTGTTTACTCCTGAACTTTGGTAAAAATCGAACATTTCTGCTACTTTGAGCTCAGTTTCAAGGTTGTTTTCATCGTCAAAGTAATGAAAATCATCTCTGTTTCTGTAATATGTTTTCATTTTATCACCTAAGACCATGAAAACGTGAATACAACGATAAATACTATACGAAAATACACCTCAAAGTAGGCGCTTTAATCCAAAAAAAACGATCAGTTTTTTTTTTTTTCTCATTACGCACTGTGTGCTGCAGGATTTTTTTTATGTGGTGCACACTGACCACACAGACCCTTTCTCTCACAGCTTTCTCCCGCTTGATTTGAAGCCGCTAGAATTATTGAGTATATATACGTCAGAAACAGTGGCTCGTAAGACATTTATACAGCGTAAACAGTCAAAGGGTTAAAGACCATACTATTGCTAAAGCTTCTTGCTCCATTACTGTATAATTACGTTCAGCCTTCGTAAGGACTCTACTAGCAAATGCAACTGCGTTGTACTTGCCATCAGTCTTGTGAGCTAGTACGGCACCTATGCCAATTGAACTAGCATCAGTTGTCAGATAGAAGGGGTTAGAAAAATCTGGGAATTTCAAAATGGGAGCGGACATCAGCTTTTCTTTTAGTGTCTGGAATGCTCTTTCTTGACGGAAGGTCCAAACGAAAGAAGCATCTTTCTTAAGCAATTCAGTTAGAGGAGCTGCTATTAAAGAAAAATTAGCAATGAAAGATCTATAGAAACCTGCTAGACCCACAAAGGATCTTACAGCATCAGCAGTTTTGGGGGATGGAAAATTTAGTACTGCCCTTACTTTACTTTGATCAGTCGTAACCCCTCTAGGAGTGACTACGTGACCAAGAAACTTAATTTCTGATCTGAAAAATTGACATTTAGACAGTTTGATCTTTAAATTGGCTTCTTCAAGCTTACCAAGTACTATATCAAGTCTTTTCAGATGTGTATCCACATCTTCGGACACGACGATTACGTCATCTAAGTACACCATAAACGCTTTACCCATGAGACCTCTAAAGATATTGGTCATGAGTCTAGAGAATGTGATAGGGGAGGATCGTAATCCAAAAGCCATTCGAAGGAAGTGATAATGACCTGTGGGAGTGGAGAATGCAGTTAACTCTTGGCTGTCCTCGTGAAGAGGGACTTGCCAAAACCCTTGTAACAAGTCCAGGGTCGAGAAGACTTTGTTATCTCCGATGTTACGTAAAAGATCACCAAGTACAGGAAGTGGGAAGCGATCTGGAATAGTTTTCGCATTTAACTTCCTAAAGTCAATCACCGGGCGCCAAGTACCGTCCTTCTTAGGCACTAGGATTAAGGGCACATTCCAGGGTGAATTACTAGGTGCAATAACTCCATCATCGAGCATTTGATTGATCAATTCTTCTGCGACAGCAACTTGGGAATGAGGCATTCTGTATGCAGGTATATAGATAGGTCTAGTACCAGGTACAAATATGCCACACCTTTACATCCTGATACAATAATTAGACCAAGAAAGTGAAGCAACCCTCCCCTTCCTTGGACCAAACCAATACATGTTTAGTACTTTATGAATATAAGAACAACAGTAACTGATCATATGGTGGTACGTGCAGTGCCAGACCTACATTTTTGGGCCCCTAAAGCTTGAACTGTTATGGGGGCCCATTCGCAACCCCTTCTCATACAGTAGACCCAAAATTTTAAAGCAATGTGGACTAAAGTGGCTTCTGGGGCTCCTCCAGGATTAGGAGCAATGAAGCTTAAGCTTCATTATTTTCACAGTAGATCTGCCCCTGGGTACAGGTTGCAAATAGTAATTTATATCAAGTTATACTGTTGAGACACAGCAGTGGTACTCACTCTTGGAACAGTGTTGTCCATGTTTGCCTGGAGGACAGATGCAGGCCCCTGTGGTTGGGTCGCAGGCAGCACCAGTGCCACAACCACAGTGATGACGACAGTCTGGCCCCCAGAATCCATCAGGGCAGGGCCGAGAGCAGAAGGTGCCACGCCAGCCTGAGATACAAAGGAGGCCTCTATAACAGCAAAAATGATGCAGTATTAGGCTAGGAGACAAATGGCACAGATTTCAAGTGAGAGAGCCACTTTACTGAAATATTCGGCTCGAATAAGCTTGTTTCACTAACAAAACATCTCAATAAACTCTGCAACTATCTTTTTCACCATCTTCACTGTTTGTAGATTTAGTCACTAAAGTGAATAATAAATCACATTTCCATGATCAGAGCATTTCTTAAATAACCAATAAGCTGGAAATGAGAGATGGATAATGTTTCAGTTTGCTCTGGACCATTGTAAAGCACCATAGAATAAATAAAACAGGAGAAATAACTTTTATTCCTTTTATACTTATAAGCTTCCTTCTATGGGATTTCATGATGGTCTGAAGTTTTGTCTATTTTTCACTTTTATCTCATGTGTTACTGAATCCAGACAATGGTTTTCTCAATCTCTCAATGTACTAAGTTATTAACATTACAGATTTCTGCAGAGGATGTATAAAGAAACAATGATGTACCTGGTTGGCACATGCAGGCACCAGAGATGTGGTCACACTTGGCACCATTGGCACAACTGCAGTTCATGGCACATCCAGACCCATAGACTCCAGCTTCACATGCTAAGAATAAAAGTTATGATAAATTCTCATGCCAGTATCACGATAACTAATCTTTCTATCCCCTTCACCTGGTTGAATGTAACCAAAATATCATTAAGCAAAAGTATCAATTGTTAGATATTGGAGGACAATTATTTGGATCAAGAGCTGAACTTTTCTTGATCCAAATACCTGCAGCTACCCTCCCAATCATTAGATTAAACCTGATTACCTATCATTTACCAGGTGTTATATGAACTCTATGAATTTAGTGCTTAAATAACGTGACTATGTTAAATATTAGTTACAAAGTGACAATGAATTTTTCACAGATATCGGTGAGTTACAAATTGTGCTCACGAAGTTTGCACTGAGGTCCTCGCCAGCCTGGAGCACAGGCACACTCTCCGGTGACGCGATCACAGCCACCGCTGTTGTCACAGTGACACATATGTAGGCAGTCCTGACCATAGCGTCCTAGAGGACATGGCTGCTCACAGCTGTGTCCTGTGAACCCTGGGAGGCACTCGCACCTGCAAGAAAACCAACACTAAAGTTTTGTAACAGTTTAACAAATATGCCATACTCAAATTTCATAAAATGCATGAATGCTACTGGGTGTAGGTCAAGACATGTTATGCAGAGCAGGACTATTTTGGATGCGTCATTCACGTAATAGCTTTGTCAGTTCTGAGAATTGATACTTGAGCAAGCTTTATCCTGAACAAAATGTTACCTAAAATTGACTTGATCCACATTACTTGTCCTCGTAGTTGCTTCCAGTGACTTGCTTATTTCTACACGTTTTAATAATAATAAACCTGCCTCAGTATCCAACTAGCTGACTTAGTACCCACTTGCATAATGCAATATCTGCCTAGCTGACTAGTTACCCACCAGTACCCGTGTGGCATGCAATGAGTATGTTACAATTTATTCGGCATATGTACACTCTCCCATATAGGCTGCCTCCCAATCAGCAAACCGGGTGCTAAGGATTTAACGATCTTAGGGACCCCATCGTTAAATCAGAACCTTGGTTCATTAACCAATCACAGACAAGCCTGCCAAGTGCTGAGACGATGTAGTGTCACTTATGGTCAACATTTGCCAGACTCGCCTCTAGCTGGTTGAAGCACAATTCTCTCTCTCAGGCTGTTGTCTTTGCCTCTATCACTGTCTGGTACACTTATATTCTGTTCTTGTATAAAGTGTACATATTTGTATACAAACATTTGGTGAAGGAAAATATAAGTTAAATACTGCTGCTGTGTTTATTTTTGCTGCAAACCCATTAACGACCAGGTCAACAGGCCATTAACATTATCTGTGTTCATAATAACCCGTCTGTTTGCCCATACTTTCCTTCCTTTCTCATCCCTTCTACTAAGTACCTTCCCCAGCAACAACCTGAAGACAGTTTCAGAGGTCACTGCCCAGTCCCCTACTAGGTCTGTAATATTCCTTCTACTATATTCACCTTCTTGGCCTAGGTTTCATTTGCCTTGCTTAATGCCAACCTGACTCGCTACCCATCTCCATAGCCTAATATTTTCCACAAAAGTACCCAACTGAGTCTACCCTGCAGCCTGGTCCAATTCCTATCAACCAAAGTCTCTATCTTCTTGGCTCAAACATCCATCCTGATTTACTACCTATTATGTATGCCTTGCTCTGTACCCACTTTTCTCAGTATGGTCAAGTACGAATTTGTCCGGGAGGGTACACATATTCCATTCCCATTATACATTTACCTTGCTTAATCCATATCTAGTTGGTAAAGTATATATATGCTCCTTCCTAGACATCTAATTCCTAAGGCCTAGTGCCTAACAACTGTGGCCGATATGAATATCTTCCTGTTGTAATCAGCACCTCCCTGGCTTCAGCAAGTATTAGTACCCACGTGGTCTAAACTGCAGCAAGCTGCCGATTGTAAAAATAGTTTAACAGAACTTTAGAGAAGTCCTTTCTTTGTACAACATTTCACCAAACAATTGGGCTTGAAATTCCTGGTAGTTGAAAAAGCACAATTGTTGGGCAAGACATTGTACAAATAAGTCACTGTGTCTGACTTTTTTGGGTTATCCTAGGTTCTCGACACACATGCTGCTATGTATGATAATTCTATGTAACTGTATTTGTGTATACCTGAATTAACTTACTTACTTAGTCATGTCTTTTTCACCAGGTAATACCTTACTGTTGAGGTCAGAGCCTCTTGGCTTCAGACAGAACCAATACCCTCCTGTTGCAGATAGTGTCCCCTGGCCTGAGCCAGTACTAGACCAATGGGGCCAGTATCCAGTCTTCAGTACCCACCTGCCGGTGATGTGGTGGCACGCAGCACCATTGAGACAAGTGCAGGTCTCACTGCAGTCTATGCCAAACCTGCCAGCAGGACACCGAGACTCACATGCCGGACCCTGGAGGAGGTCATACAATTAAGAACCAATTTAGCAAAAGCATAGTCATACAAAACAGAAAAAAAGTCATAAAAGCCAAAAGAGAATCCAGGACAAAAAAAAAAAGCATAAAAACTATATAAAGGCAAAAAAAGAGTGGTTAGCATTCAAGGAGCAGTCAACCAACAAAATGCAAAATTAAAGTCAGGTGCAGTTCTATAAAGCAGTAAAAATTCACATGATTAATTTAAAAAGGGGGGGGGGGGGGCCCAAAATAGTAGGAAAGTTCCAAAAGACAGATAACAACAGAAAAAAAGGGTCAAAATTAAAAAAATTTTTACATGTACAGGGCAACAGGAATCTTATAGGAGTCAGGAATCGCGGGAAGAACTAAAAGCCATAAATGAAATCGAAAGAAACCCAAAGTATTTCTTCTCCTATGCCAAATCAAAGTCGAGAACAACGTCCAGTATTGGGCCCCTACTTAAAAAAGAGGGTCCTACACAATGCACAAGGAAAGAGTGAGTACTCACCCCCAATATACCATTTTTAGCAACCCGCTAACCAACTGAGAGTCGAAGTCAAAATGATTTTTTTGAGAGAGCCACAGAATTTGGGTTTAACACAAGCCTATCCGATGTTATCCACCCAAATGACTTCGAACGGGGCGAAAAATGACAGCCCATGCACTCTCCCCCAGGGCCAGACCATGAACTCCGTTTTCTCAAGAACTGCAAGAAGCCTGAGTGATACGCTCTGGGGGGAAACAGCAGCGGGATAATACTGCCCACCTCTCGGGCCCTTAACAAAAACAACATTTTGGTGTGTGTCATGGCGCCAACACATTGTGTGATTCTCTTCTCTTCTACTATCCCTATATTAGTGATGCAGATTACATGGTGAGTTTAAATATGTGGCCTGTATTATAACTTTTTTTCTGAATAGCAAAACATCACCATCCCTGAGAAGCCGTTATTAATGTAATGTCATTATTTTTGTTGTTGCAGAAGTACTATGAAGATTCTATGTTCAATAAAGCCTAGAGATAAGGCCTGTGTTTCTATCACAACAAAGCCCCTATCACGAGCCTTTTCCATCCTATGGAGAGGGAGCATGGACACGGGGGTCGTCCCACAGTTACTAAAAACAAAAACATCCCCACTCCACAAAGGGGGCAGTAAAGCAACAGCAAAGAACTACAGACCGATAGCACTAACATCCCATATCATGAAAATCTTTGAAAGGGTCCTAAGAAGCAAGATCACCACCCATCTAGAAACCCATCAGTTACACAACCCAGGGCAACATGGGTTTAGAACAGGTTGCTCCTGTCTGTCTCAACTATTGGATCACTATGACAAGGTCCTAGATGCACTAGAAGACAAAAAGAATGCAGATATAATATATACAGACTTTGCAAAAGCCTTCGACAAGTGTAATAGCGTAATAGCACACAAAATGCGTGCTAAAGGAATAACAGGAAAAGTCGGTCGATGGATCTATAATTTCCTCATTAACAGAACACAGAGAGTAGTCGTCAACAGAGTAAAGTCCAAGGCAGCTACGGTGAAAAGCTCTGTTCCACAAGGCACAGTACTTGCTCCCATCTTGTTCCTCATCCTCATATCCGACATAGACAAGGATGTCAGCCACAGCACCGTGTCTTCCTTTGCAGATGACACCCGAATCTGCATGACAGTGTCCTCCATTGCAGACACTGCAAGGCTCCAGGCGGACATCAACCAAATCTTTCAGTGGGCTGCAGAAAACAATATGAAGTTCAACGATGAGAAATTTCAATTACTCAGATATGGTAAACACGAGGAAATTAAATCTTCATCAGATTTACAAAACAAATTCTGGCCACAAAATAGAGCGAAACACCAACGTCAAAGACCTGGAGTGATCATGTCGGAGGATCTCACCTTCAAGGACCATAACATTGTATCAATCGCATCTGCTAGAAAAATGACAGGATGGATAATGAGAACCTTCAAAACTAGGGAGGCCAAGCCCATGATAACACTCTTCAGGTCACTTGTTCTATCTAGGCTGGAATATTGCTGCACACTAACAGCACCTTTCAAGGCAGGTGAAATTGCTGACCTAGAAAATGTACAGAGAACCTTCACGGCGCGCATAACGGAGATAAACAAAACCTCAATTACTGGGAGCGCTTGAGGTTCCTAAACCTGTATTCGCTGGAATGCAGGCGGGAGAGATACATGATTATATACACCTGGAAAATCCTAGAGGGACTAGTACCGAACTTGCACACGAAAATCACTCACTACGAAAGCAAAAAACTTGGCAGACGATGCAACATCCCCCCAATGAAAAGCAGAGGTGTCACTAGCACGTTAAGAGACCATACAATAAGTGTCAGGGGCCCGAGACTGTTCAACTGCCTCCCAGCATACATAAGGGGGATTACCAACAGACCCCTGGCAGTCTTCAAGCTGGCACTGGACAAGCACCTAAAGGGAGGCCAGAATTGTAACATATCGACTTCTTTATTTTTCAACCGATTACGTTCATTTTTGGTGTACTATTAGAAGCTTATATCGAGTATCCTGTGCTGAAGTTTCAAACATATCGGCCAAAAAGGAAATGAAATATGCAAAATTTACGAGGAATTGCATTTGGCAGCGGAGCTGTACTCAGTGGTACTTGGAAAAGTGGTTTTGGCACTTGCTGCTGATAGAACACCTCTAATTCCATCAATGTACGTGTACCAATTCTAAAATAAACCTTATCTTCATGCTAAAAAAAATAAAGTTTCATAACTTTTTTGACATATTGGAAGATGTCGGTCTTGTTGCCCACATAAATCTAAAAATATTTGGGATAGTTCAGAAAGGAACACTTTACCTTGTAAAACAAACATTCTTCTATGTTTGTTGTGAAAATCAAGTAAATTCAATCATAAATAAAGATGGATTGCCCCTAAATAGGTAAATAACTTACTTTTGAGATATAGGCCGAAGCGCGCAGCACCCCAGGTGCCCGGGAAATATTTTTTTTCCCCGAAAAATTCGCTTTATTTTACACTTTTTCCGTGACCTACGAGTGTTTATTACAGTTAACCATTGTAAATCCGTTTTCTCTCATTACATATGAGAGAACGGACCCTTTCTTCACTTTCAGGGAATATATCGATAGAAATTTTTTCCTCTCGGGCATCATATTATGCTATATATTATTTTTTAAGGTGTGCTTTTTATGTTTATATGCTATTATTATATTGCATTATGTCATAATAGATCAATTGTGATAGATAAATAAGCCTTATAATTGATATTAGCGTGGGTATGGAGTATTTTGTTGGCTGGAGGTGTCGGCCATTTTATGCAAAATACCCCGGGTACCTGATTGGTTACTTGACCATATTATCTCCGCCCACTCTGCCATGATGTCAGTTAGTTAGTTTAATATGTTTATTATGCACCCCATACCCATCCTGTGGGCGGTAGTCAAAAGATTACAGAGGTACGTAATTGGTCCAGGGACTGGACTCCAAAGTTTTGATAGCTGAGCAAGTTAAGATAAGATAAGATAAGATTTCGTTCGGATTTTTAACCCCGGAGGGTTAGCCACCCAGGATAACCCAAGAAAGTCAGTTCGTCATCGAGGACTGTCTAACTTATTTCCATTGGGGTCCTTAATCTTGTCCCCCAGGATGCGACCCACACCAGTCGACTAACACCCAGGTACCTATTTGCTGCTAGGTGAACAGGACAATAGGTGTAAGGAAACGTGTCGGAATTTCCACCCGCCGGGAATCGAACCCGGGCCCTCCGTGTGTGAAGCGGGAGCTTTAGCCACCAGACCACCGGTAATGAACTAGATCTGGTCATAATCATGACCAAGTTACAAAGGTAATGTCAGATGGTGAATTTGTATTATATTAGACATAAAGATATAAGAAAACGATAAAAATAACACGGGGGGGAAAAACGTAAACAATGCCGCGTCAGCGCTTGTTACGCAATGTGATGCAAGGCGCTGTCACCATGCCTGTTATAAATGGCTGTAATTCCTTTTAGAAACATCGTACAAGGATAATAATTATACCAGAGTGTAGCCAGAAAGTTCAGCTATTTTTTGGTAACGATAACTCAATTTTCATATTTTTTCGATTTTTTTTTGCTCCGCGCGCCGGCAATCAGATCCTCCCTAAAGTCGGTTCCTGACCAACCGGGCTGTGGCTCGTACGTTGGTTTGCGTGCAGCCAGCAGTAACAGCCTGGTTGATCAGGCTTGATCCACCAGGAGGCTGGCAAAGGGGCCCGGGGGGGGCGTTGACCCCCCGGAAACTTCTCCAGGTAAAATCCGGTAGTTACTAT